AGTTACTGTGCAGCAACAGCAATTGCTAATATTATGGGCAGTAAGATCAGAACACGAGGGGTAGTAAAATCGGAAGTACTGAAAACAGAATTGCACCCTGGGAAAAATGACTGCTGAGGAAAATTGAATTATTGCGTAGGGATATTGGACAAATTACGGAATACATTCGAGGAGTAAGAACTCGAAAAGGAGTTAAAAGAGCTAAAGAAATAATTCTGAACAAAAAGAGGTTAGTCTTTGTAAATGGGTATATTTATTTAAAAAACCCTTAAAAGGGCCACATCAATAAAACAAACGTTTTCGGACCACACAGTCCATCATCAGGTTTTTAAAATCGATGATGGACTGTGTGGTCCGAAAACGTTTGTTTTATTGATGTGGCCCTTTTAAGGGTTTTTTAAATAAATATACCCATTTACAAAGACTAACCTCTTTTTGTTATACGTGGTATACAGCCAGCTACAGGAATTTTTCCTTGTGGATTTTTTAATTCTGAACACTCCAAGACACAACATGATCCAGAAAACCACATAGCTAAACACTGCCTGTACACATTAAAACAAAAACTCTCTTTTTATTCAGGTTGCCCAAGGAGATACAAAATTAGTAACAACCGGAAATGCGACAATATACTTTTTGAGCATGCAGAGAAGGCTTTTTATAGGAAACTGAATTTCACTATAAAAAATGTAAATAAATCCTACCCAAGCCAAGAAGTAATTCATTAGTTTTAGGGAATCCTGGAAAATACTGAAATCTTTAACAAAAAATAAAAACGAAAAGGTCCAAATACAATACATATCAGAAAAAGAGTGGGAAGACTACTATAAAGAACTACTCACAGAAAACCGTCCAGATTTCATGGAGACAGACACAGAACATGCACAATAACAAAATCAGAATGAAGAACAGATTGAGATAACATTAATCGAAGTAAAGAATGCTATAAAGACTTTAAAAGACAAAAAATCAGGGGGACCAGGAGGAATTGTTAATGAAGTAATTAAGTACGGAACGGACAAACTACACAGAATTATACACAAAATGTTCAGTAACGCTATAAACCTGAACGAAATACCAGATGAATGATCCAAAGCATATATAACCTCGATCATAAAAATGGAGATAAGAAGAAATGCGGGAACTACATAGGCATCAGTATGATATTATGTATGGGCAGGTTATATGGAAAAATACTGAAAGAAAAACTGGAAAAATCTATCTCAAATAAAATTGGAGAAGATCAGGTGGGTTCACGGCAGGAAGATATTGCATACACCACATATATACACTCCAACAATTAATTAAAAAAAAATGGCAAAAAATAGACCAGTACACATGGCATTCATAGATTTAAAAAAGGCATATGACACGGTTCCCAGAAAACAACTATGGAACACGATGAAGGAAATCGGAATAACTCAGAGGTTAATAGAAGCCGTAAAAAAAGTTTACAACAACAACAAGGTAAGAGCTAAAACCTGCAGTAAATACTCCAACTAATTTAAGACCACAAAAGGTTTATTGCAGGGATGCTCTACATCTCCGACACTGTTCAAGATATTCCTCGAACAAATATTAAAACCATGAAAAAGGAAATGTGAAGGGATGGGAATACCAATGCGGGACAACTTCTTGTACACATTAAGCTTTGCAGATGACCAAGTAGTAACGACTCAAGATGAAGAAGATCTGTGCCATATACTCCGAAACTTAGAAAAGGAATACACAAAAAATCGATTGGAAATAAACCTAAAAAGACGAATATTTAACAACAGAGCAAGAACCAGTGAGAAACTTCGAAATGGACGATGATAGGGAAATTAACGGCACTGAAAAATTCAAATATTTAGGATTCATACTCTCAAAAAATGGAACCACCGAGCAAGAGATAACCAGCAGATTAGCACAACAAGAACATGTATTAAACAAATGAACGGGGTACTGTGGGATAGACAGAATACCAGAAATACAAAGAAGAGAATTTATAACACCTTGGTACGCAGTACAATGACCTATGGAGCAGAGAATCGGGTAATAAATAAACGAAACAGGTCCAAAATCACAGCAACTGAAAAGAAGCTGCAGAGTGACAAAAATAGATCGCATCGGAAATGAGGAGATAAAACGAAGAATGGCAGTAGAATAAAATATATTCAGACACATCGAAGAAAAACGTTTAATTTGGTATGGACATATGAGAAGAACAGATCAGACAAGGTGGATAGCAAAGATTTAGGATTGGAGCCCAATAGGAAGGAGGAAAAGAGGTAGACCCCGAAGATCATGGAGGGATGAAGTGGACGAGGCCATGGAAAGACGAGACCTTAGATATGGAGAATGGCAGAACAGAAAGGACTGGAGACGTTGGCTGAAAGAAGGAAGGCGGCGGCAGCTGTAAAAATCCTTATATAGATAGATATGATAGACGATCTTTTAACTGTGTTATTATCATGCTATTTTTAATCCGCAGGAAATACCACAATTTCTGACTCAGGGAATCACTTATCTGATTCCAAAGCATCAAAATAACACCCAATATCCAGCCAAGTACCGCTTAATTACTTGTCTTCCAAATTTGTACAAATTAGTCGCATCCCATGTAGCCCAGCGTATCGACCATCGAGTAAAAAGACAAAAGAGGAAATGTAAAGGTAGTGGGGGCAAAAATATTGTTAGACAGGAAGTGCGATCTTTAGAGACCACATTAAACAAGGAAAGAGAGTCTCTCTCCTTGTTTGACATAAAATTTAATTGGGTTATGTTATTGTTTGTCCCAAATGTCACATGAAATTTTATGAAGTTTTTTAACAATTGTGTCGCATTTTAGACTATTACTATTAATAATTAATTAAAACTTTCTCGTTTAAAACACATTCTGAAAAATATTATCTAGCTACTGTTAATAAGTGTCGGAAAATTTAAATTTGGCGCATTCGCATTTCCGGATATGTCCGCCATTAGAGGCCACTTTTTTGGTCTCCTTTTCATAAAGATTAGATTCCCTCTTTTGTATTTTTGCTCGATGGTATCGACACACACTGTTCTCTAAACAATATCATAGAGCCTCAACAGAAAGGATGCGCTAAGGGTTCCATGGGCTGCAAAGATAACAACTTATAATCGACTCGGTTATTTCCAACCAGGCGTACACCAAAAAAAGGAACCTTTTCACCGCCTATATTGACTACAAAAAGCCATGATAATAAATAAAAATAAATTTTGAATGGTATTTTTTTTTAAATTAGCTGAATACAAGCATCTATTTTTTAAACTGACTGTCAATATATTTGTATGAGTTTTGTATTTATTTTTTTGAAGAAAATTATACATAATTTCAAAATTTCACCTTGTATTATTCGTAATAGACTCTACATAATATAGAGATATAGTTTGTTAAGATCGGGTTGTTAAGGAGATTTTAAAAACATAAAAATATACGGGTTTTCCATTAAAAATAAAGGTAATGGACTATGCTAGACTTATGTGAATTACCCTGTATATTTTAATTTATATTTGAAAAGCGCACATTTGATTTTAATTCTTGACAGGTCCCAGTGTTTTTCCTAATTATCTAAAATAAGGACACAAACAATTTTATTCCTTAAAGATTCCTTAATTGATTAATAATTAATTCCTTAATGTGGTTTCTACACATAATTTTAAAATTTTGTCCTGTATTATTGAACGTAGTTAAGGAGTTCTTAAAAATACTGAAACATACAAGATGTTTTATTAAAAAAAGATTTTGGGCTATACTAGGCTTGCGTAAGTCACTTTACATTTAAATTTATGTTTAAAAAGTTTATGTTTACGTTTTAAAATAAGGACAGAAATAATTCTTCCACCTTATATCTAGGAATAATACCTCGCACAACTTTTTTGAAAAGTATTTGTTTCATTTCTTGGCAATTGTCTTGTATAATGAACATTTTATTATCTCGGAATTTGTTCCATAATAATAATTATCCAACTACTTAGTAACACAAACAAGTCTGCCAAATTTCCAGACTATACGTCAATCTCCTGAGGATTTAATCATTTTTTAGCGTTTTTGCTACACTGTGCTACCGATCTTGGCGCACGTCGCAAGTTTTGTAAAATCGTCAATTATGCGTATGAATGTTAATAATAAAGTGATAAAGCTTGGAGGTGGAAGGCCATTACGTTGAGTCTTATTTTTTAATCACATAACACTTAAAAAATTGATTCAGGTTGTATCGATTTAAAAAAATATAGATTCACAAAAACTCAAAAAAAAAACATGAAGAAACATCCTTTTTTGGGTTTACAGGTGTTTGACCCAATTTTTGAATGTCGTAAAGGACTCAGTTACTTTAAATTGTATATAACCAATAAAAAAACCTTGACTTGATTTATTTTAAAATCTATACAATGCGGAATATCCCCAAAAACTCGTAAAACCCAATTTTTCGGTTTTTTGAAGTTGACCCACCTGACTGAAAAATCTGGAAAAAAATCATAAGTATAAATTTTAATTAAATACATAAAATAGAAAAAATATTCTTACAGCTACCTAAAAAAAGGTATACTATTTTTTCGAAAAAAAAAACAAATGCATTTTTAGGTTATGGACACCCTCAATCTGCTGGTCTATAAAAAAGAAATAAGTATTTTAAAAGCTTTAACTGTGCGTGTAAATTTTTTGAAAGTTTTAAATTGCTGCAATCCACCTAAAAAAAACGAAAAAGTTAACTTTTTGGGGGTAGGGGTGGCTGGCTAAAACTGCGCTGAGTCTTTTTGTTATTTACATAAAACGCAGTAAATATTCTTTCTCTCTGTCTCATTACTCTTAAATTCGCAGGTTCCGTTCCATGGTCGATTTTTCTCGATACGTCTTAGTTGATAAATGTTTATGTATTTATAGTTTTTATTCATGTATAAATTTCTTCGTATTAACTGTAAAACCTTGTACATTTATGTGGTTCTGTTTTCTGTTTCTATATATTTATATATTTGATGACTTCTTTATTTTTTAGACTGTTCTCAAAATGAAAATATGTCAATTGGCCCAGGATTATCTGAATAAGCTGCTCCAAAAATGTTTCTCGGAGTTATCAAATATCCTTAGTGAACGAACGCCGGTAACCGTAGAAAATCTTCTAGCTCTAGACACTCTACAGCAAACCAAAACAACATGTATATCGATAGCGGCCAGGATGTGTAAGGATAGGCTAAAGCAGTGGATCGGATCTCACATGACAGTTAATATATTTTTAAAAGATTTCGAAAAGGAACTGCATAAAATGTGGTTAAACGAAAATAAAAAACCGGTAGAAGAAAAATTAGTTTTTGCATTGCCCTCTAACGGTAGGACTGTCGACCATTACGAACATTCTTTGAGTGCATTTCACGTATTAGAAAACATTAAGGTAACTATAATACTGATCTATATTGTCATCACTCAATAGGTGAAATACTCATAAGCGTGGTCAAAATTGTCGCTAGAAAACGTGATCAAATTATGTCCGGTATATAGCTAACTTCTATTCCAATCTGATGTGAAAACCCAAAAATTCAGAATGGCAAATGCAATATCAATTATCAAATATATTATAATGAATTGTGTAGTAGCCCAAATTTTATTCAAAATGAATGGGGCCGTCTTCTACAAGGCATTTATCAACTGCGCAACTTACATGCTATTCTTTCAGCTAAATTCTCAGCATCCACGCACTACATACCTTTAATAATTTGTTCAATTGTAACCTCCTTAAGTATTTCGTTTCTTATATGTAATAAGATAAAATAAATACATTTTTTAACTTGATAAAGTCATCACGTTAACCAAAAAGGGGTTCTAATGCGGAAAGGATAGTCAAGGTTCTATTGCGTATGGTAGTGAGTTTGAAGAAGTATATTTAATAAGACGACAAAAATCTTCAAGAATATCAATGCTTTGAGTTGACACGTTTTCTAGCAGTTTACCCGTTGTGCATCATTAGAGTTAACAAATATTATTTGATAATTTTATTTTTTTGGTTGTTTTTAGATCTTATCAGTTGATATATTGGAGAAACCTAATTATGTTAAAAAAGACGTTGTAACTCATATTGTGATAGAGTCTTACAGAACACTAACATCTAGATGTGATGTTAACGATGTTATAACCGTTTGCATTTGCAATTCTCTTTTAGATCTCGCCCTATTATTAAGTAAGTATGCTCTATAAGAAGATATTTATTTGTACTTAAGGGAAGAATTAACAGTTCTCGGGGGTTTTGAATTCTTTATTTAATTTTTGTCATATATATATATATATATATATATATATATATATATATATATATATACAGATTGAACGAATTTAAAACAAATACTGCGGCTCAGTATGGTGTGTGGGCGCACCAGATATACCAACAAATTGAACAACGCCTCTGTCCGATTATGTCGAATGACACCGCTGTACCGTGAGTGTCCGGCTTTAGGAAGCGATAGGTGGTTTGACCACCTATTAATGAGTTCTTGAATTAGTTCAGAATCCAGCAGCCCGCTGAAGTATTGGATTTTTATAATTTAATTATTTGACAACCTTTTGTTGGCCAGCCACCTAGATCGGAGTTGAGCCGAAACACATATATTTCGTATGTTCCGAATTTAACTCGTTCAATCTATATATATATATATATATATATATATATATATATATATATATATATATATATATATATATATATATATATAATATATATATATATATATATATATATATATATATATATATAAAGGAGTACGACCGTCAAACAGTTATTCAATGAAGTAAGTTTCAAAAGAAAAGATCTTTTGATCACGAGGATATCGGTCAAAGGAGAAATAATACACGGAAATCACAGTTCCATTCCTACATTTGAAGACGTTTCGCTTGTGTGGTTTACAAGCTTCATCAGTTCAATCTAAAAAATATTACAATGGTGGTAGGCAATAATATACAAAAGCATGGAAAAAATAACTTACGAATGGTAAGTGAAGTATAAAATGGTGTTAAACAAACACACCATTCCCTTGGTAACTGTGGTCAATACATTAAAATGTTGTTAAAATCGTAGCTTAAATGTTTCTGTGTAGTAGCATTCGTGTATTACAATGCGAAAAAGTTTAATTTACAAATTAAAGAAAGAATAAAAACTACTACCAAGCTTGATAAAAAACCCGTCAACATTGCACGTAAAAAAACTAACTTACAACAGTAAAGTGTAGATATACAATTAACAAATTAAAAAAGTGACTAAAAAGCACTGACACAGAGCTGAATTGTTATATCAAAAAGATTTTGTACTTTACTTTAGGTACATTTCACTCTAATGGATTTTAACCCGAAAACGAAAGTCAAGTTTTCAATGCAGTAGAATGTGTGGAATTTATTAGTTGTGAGTTGATCCAACTTTTAGGGGAGAATGAGACGAGCAGGCGCAATACACAAGAAACGCAAACCTACAACGCAGAGGACACTGAAGTAAATAGAATTGTTAAGTGGAAATGTCTTCGAAACCAATATGTAGTGAAGAAAGGTTGGAATCTAGAATTTATAATGGCGATTAGTCAAGGAGGGAAAATATGAATTGTCAAATAAGTGAGGCTTTATGTAAATTAGGTATGAAACAGTATGTGATGTAAAAGGTTAAAAGTAAGAGTAAGTACTAGTGGGGAATAAAGAGAAGGTTGATAGGTAGCTGGGATGTGGTAATAAATGATCAAAGGAAACGGCAATGAAAATGTCTGGATGACAAAATGACAAAAAGAACGTCGAAAAATTCTTCATTTGATATTGGAGAGAAGAGAATGGTACACTAAACTGAGGTTGTCGATATCAGTACGTTTATTCATGGTGGAAGGATTGAGGAAAATGTGGCACATTTCAAGGAAGCTTCTCTTGAAATGGTTGCTTTCTGTGCAAAGAATTTTGACATGTTCATAATCTGGTCGGTGGTCAGACGTAAGAATGTGTTGTGCTAAGGCACAGGAATGTTTATGGCATCTAATATTACTCTTGTGAGAAATTAGTCGACCTTTAAGGGATCTACGAGTCTGGCCAATGTAACATAGGTTACAATTCATACAGGGGATGTTGTAAACCACATTGATCTTTTCCAACGGGTTTAAAGGGGTTTTAGTTTTAGAGAATAGTTTACCAACTGATCTGATGTTTTTAACTCCAATTTTAATTGGTGTAGATGTTAGGAGTTTTGCGAGCTTCTCAGTCAGGTGAAGGAAATACGAGAGTAACGGTTTTTAGTCCATTTTTCAAAATGATGAATTTTTGTAGCTGTGCGTCTATTTAAAATTATGTTAGTGGTACTTTTAGTTATTAGTTCTGGTTTAATGTTATTGTATTAGATAGTTCTTGTAAGTGTATTACAGGAATGAAAAGTACACGTTAAGATGTTTTATTTCTTTGGCATAAAGAGTGCGCCTCATATGACAAAAATTAAATGAAGAATTTAAAAATGATATTTATTTGAGACCATTACCCGTATGCGTGCCAATGATGAATAAATAAATGCCTAATTGTTTGATAATAAAACATACGCAATAACAAACTCTTAAAACCCACCAATATCAAGAAAACCAAAACGATGGTTGTTTCAAAAAAGTTAACAATAATTGTGAATAATTAGTTTTTAATGGACAGGTCATTTAACGGACTTCTCGGTACAAATATCTTAAAACTAATAAACTAATGCTGGGATGTTGAACCTGAAATTATACTGGAGAAAGAAGAAAGAAGAGGAAAGTTAAGTGTTTGGCGACGTCTGAAGAGGCACAAAATATGAGTCCCTATAGTTTATAATACAAAGAAAGATAGTTGGACGAAGAAGTTTGGAACATAGAAGAATATCTTGGCTGTGAAACCTTCGTGTATGGTTCGAAAAGACATCGGTCAAATTATTCCGTGCAGCAGTTTTAAAAGTGCAGATAGTCATGTCGATCAGCAACCTCTACAGGAGGTTTTGAATGCAAAAAGATATTAGCACTTGATTGTATACAGTAAGATAAGGTACTTTATATTTGTTTGTGTTAGGTATTCCTGATACTTATAAATATGGACGTTCTAAACTATAATTGTAGATAAATATAATTAACATTTTTGTTTCAAGTACATTTTATATGTAAAAAGCTCTCGAGATGTGACTATTTATGTAATGAGGAAGAAAACTTCAGTAACTTAAAAAGTAGCGATTATAGTGATACAAGCAGTGGCAATGATAAAGAAATAGTTTTAGTTGGAAAGGTGAACAATTTCACCTTTATGTAATGTTTTTTTTTTATTTTAAAAAATAAGAATACACCTAATCTACAAGATTAATCAGGATTTTTTACCTAATTTTAAGATTGTTTGTAAGCTAGATGTCACCTGGTTCATCTTAACTTTTTTTGAAATGAAATGTTGTGGTAATACAACACAGCACTGACTTTACTTTTCACTAATTGCTCACGTCCTTGTTATGGCTACAATGCACAATATTAACTAAGCGTTGCACAACTTCACACATTACACAAACTCGAACGGTTTAGTCCTCTTGAGCCTTCGCATGTGGGATTGGTTTACAAGAAGCTGAAGAGTTTTAGGGTTGGAATGCTTATGGAAACTCTCTTCATGTCTCCTGGCGACATTCTTAATTTCATTTGGAGTCGATTCGACTTCTAAGGTCTCTACGTAAATCGTCATTCCGAATATACCAAGGAGCACCTGCAATATTCCTTAGTATTCGGTTTTGGAACGTTTCTAAATTTGTATAATTGCTTTTTTTGATACAGTCCTATAACTGTAGGTCACTTCTCTTCTAAATGTACCTATCTTCTAGAGATGTTGGCGATCACATTGACCCATTTTATTTTATTTGCAGCAGCTCGAAATAGATCAGTTGACGTTAGACCAGTCCATTTCCTAAGATTGGCCAGCCAGGATATACGTCTACGTCCAGGGCCTTTCTTAACCCCAATCTTGCCATGTAGAATCAACTGTAGAAGTCGGTATTTATCATTACGCATGATGTGGCCAAAGTAACCCAATTTTCTATTTTTTATGGTTTTAACAATGTCTTTGTCGTTTATTAGCCTCTGGAGAATAGTTATGTTACTTGTGTGGTGTATAAATTATACCCTCAACATACGTCGGTAGCACCACATTTCAAATGGCTCCAATCGTTTTATGGCATCTTCTGTAAGGCTCCAGCTTTCTACTCCATAGAGGAGGAGACTAAAGACGTAACATCTAAAAATTCTTATGCGTATATTGATACTTAAAGATAAGTTGCAGAGAATCTTCCTAAGGCTGTTGAAAGAGCTTCTTTCTTTTTCGAAGATAAATAATATAATATAATAAATATAAACTAAGATCTAAATCCTTCTATAATACATTTTATAAGTGGTACACTCGTATACCGAGAAAGGGGTAAAAAGTTATGTGTTCAAAGTGATGGCAATACCGTCACGAAAAAGTGGAGGGGTGAATTACAAGAATAATATTTATACTTATTAGCTACTTATCTTTATTAAATGAAATTAAAAGAAAATTAATTATTTTGTAGAAAAAAAAAAGAATTAAAGGTATTTTATTAATTTATAATAATTATTATATATTTATATAAATAATATACACTTATCAATAAAATTTAAATATTTCGTACGATATAATAGTAAAATTCAATATAATAGTGAACTTTTTTACGGAAAAATTTAAATATTTATTTTTCCGGGATATTCCGATAGGCCAAAATAGCACAATTCTTATTATTTGGTTGAGCTACCCTAGTTTAAAAAATGAAGGTTCTACGAGCCACAAAAGCCGATTTCCAATCTAAAAAAAACGAAGCTTGGTCAGTTCTTACCTCCACTTTTTCGTGGCGGTATTTTACGAATACCATTTAATAGGTTATAACTTTTTACTCTTTTACTGTATATGTCATCAATAACTTGGGACGACAGACGACATTGTATTTATAACAGATAAAAGAGAATGAATTAAATAGCGAATCAACAAAAATGGGTCTACAAATGAATTATAATAAAACGAAAATTATGACCAACCAACCAAAAGAATTAATAATTACAATTGCACGAACAACTATAGAACATGTAAAAGAATATCTATATTTGGGAGAACTAGTTAAATTAAATAAAGAAAATCAGACCGGAGAAATAAAGAGAGGGATAA